ACCAGGTGTTCGGGGCCAAGATGACCGAGACAAATGGAAACAAACTTCATTTTTTCTAGGGATTCAGAGGCGGCGTTTGGCGCCCAAAGTGCGACCATGGGAGGCTCGTTTTGGATGTTCGGGGCCAGATTCTTCTGGTTGCCCTCTTCGTGAGGTCCGAGAAGCACAATCGCCTTATGCTTGGCTGGGAACAACTACATGTGTTGGGATATCCTGTGTGGGCTCCAGGCGCAACAGCTGCTGGTGTGGAAGCTTGACCATTTGAGTGATGGTATAAAAAAACTCACTAATTTGCATTCACTAATTTCGCCAACAAGCAACCCCTACAAAAGCAACATTTGAGGTTAAAGGTCGCTTCAATTGGGAAATCTGAGCACGGCTTCCAAGGAGACCGTGGACACCAGCTTCCTGTCAGAATCCTGCTTGAGGACTGTCAGTGGCAATGGGATGTCACTGGCCTGTGCAGGATTTGTGCTTTTGATGGCAGTGCTGTTTGTGGAAGACCACAAATAGAGCAGTACAAACCTAGCTGACCTAGCTTTAATTCATGAGTCGAACCTGAAGTTCACCCTCCAATTGGATGCAGTGCCTATGGATTCCGGATGCTTTTTGCCCCGCGTCATCTGTCAGAAAAGGTGCAGTATCTAGCTGCCAGGACCTTCCTGACAGTCGATTGTGTGTTTTCTTTTATTGTGTATCTTCTTTTACGATACCAGTATGTCCCAGATAAAATATGTCTAGATATTACAGTATATATCGCTATCTTGCCAGGGCTCCATGCCACCTTTTGGTGATGAGCCTAGGGAGAAAGTCCCTAAACCCTTAGCTTTTCTGAACCTCAGCCATGCCTCTGCGAAGTCTGGCACGCAAAGAGGGCGTCCACGGTCAGTCTTTGGCGCAGAGCCTGCAGAAGCCGTGGATGAAACAGATTGTGTAGGAAGAAGGGAGGTCGCGCGGCCACCAACCAAACCGGCCAGCAAAAGGCCCTTTCAAGATGAGGGTTGTGAGGATGGGGATTGTCAAGGTAGAAGGAAACTGACATTTCCTAAATCATCTACCTCACACCCTACTCTCTTTGGGGATGAAGGGTCCGAAGATGATGCAGCTTCTGATGGTGATTCTTCCTCAAACAGTGGTGCTGAAGGGTTTGCCGCCCAACAAAACACAGTGTTTACCTTCGGTTGGAGCTCTGTATCGACATTCCAAAAAGCAACTACCTGGCGGGAACAAATCGATGATCCGAAGGCGTCCCGAGAGAAACGGGCTTATGACAACAGCAAGAGGGCCCAGGAGGCTTCGTATTCAAAACAGGAATCAACGGGTTTCTACAAGAGAAATGGTTTGGATCCAGCCCGACTGCAGAAGCTCTTTGCAGCAACCACTTGTTCATGCGCCTTTGTTGGCATATTACTATAATTTGGTTGTTTTAGTTGGGTTAGTTTGCAACGCCAACATATCTTCCATCCATGCGCCGCATAGCTATATGTTACTGAGGTGCCAAAAAGGTGTGCTTCAAACAGTTCGGTGAGTCCAAGGAGCTCCCTTCTTTTCTTCAGCAGTTCTGGAACATGAGCAAGCAAGATCAAGATACAATTGTACCATGGCTGTCCTGTGAATCTATTTCTTTTAAATGTCCTCCCATGTCCTCCCCCATATTGGTGCCAACCCACTGTCACAACCATTTGTTTACATTCCCTGATTCTCCTCAACGCTTTGCCTAGATGGAGATTTCCATTTCTTCTGGCTGTGGCACTACAGCTTGCACCTTGCTGGACAAGCCTGTTGGGTTCAGATGCTTGGCGTCCCTGCTGGGTGTTGGCGGGTCCAGGCTAGAGAAGAAGCGGGCTGGAGCTCCTGACCTGAGGTTCGGGAAACATGAACATAGGAGCAAACCAGGAACCTGGACGGTTGATGGATTCCTGCAAGTTGCTTACGACGCCATTGCAGAAACACTCCCCGACGAGTTTTCTGGTGCAGGTAGTGATTTTTGATTTTTGGTCGTTTTGGCTGTGTTGATCACAAACTGAATGCTTGATGTTGGAAAAACTAGGTTGTTTGCTGCCAAATACGATTCGGATGAAAGTCAATGAAACCCAGGTTTGTTCGACGCGGGCGCGCCTCACATAGAAAGAAGGATCTGGACGACGACGCACCTAGTGACTGGGAAGAGGTTGCTTCTGACGTTGAGGCAAACAAGGAGGAACTTCGTGAGTGGCTATCTACCCAATCGTGCAAAACAAGATTGTTGCCCCACAACCAGTTGGTCAGGAAGTACCTCCCTCCAGGAACAGTCATGGATTTGTATGAACACTACAAATCAACACAAGCTCTACTGGGTTGCCAAGCAGTCTCGCGCCCCACATGAAGATGTAACACATGTTTTTATTTGTTATGTTGGAACATGTTGGTAATCTGTTTGCACCCCTTTAGTCTGCGCCCTAATGTCTGTGGATCTTAGGTACACGACCTTCAATGATGTCTTCAAACGAAGGTGGTCTGATATCTTGCGCTTCCGGGCCAAGTCTCTCTTTACCACCTGTGAGGTTTGCAGTGTCCTCAAGAAGCAACTGGGTGACCGGAGTTTGGGGGTGGATGGCAAGCTCCAGGCCCTCCAACTATACCGAGACCATTTACATTCACAATACAAAGACCGAACCTGCATGTGGCAATTACAAAGCCAATCCCAGGAGCCAAATTCTGAAGTGCTGTTCATCAGCACAGATGGCCTAGATCAGGCCAAATTTGCACTCCCTAGGCACCCAGATCTACGAGCAAGTGCAAATGTGTGTTTGGGATGAATAGCAATTGGTCTCTATTATTTATTATGTTCTTTTTGGGGGTGGCTTTGGGTTTCTGGTTCGAGCCCTGCTCCGACCCCCACTCTGACTGAGGGCAAAGCATGAGAGACCTCGCTTAAAGGTGCACGGCGCCTGGGCTTTCGGACAGCAGCTGAGCATCTACATAATGGACGATGTCAGCAAGCATGACAGCAGCTCAATCATCCAGATCCTCTCAGAGACACTGGAGGATGCTGCTCAACTAAATCAAAAATACATTTGTGTTCAGAATGGACCTAAAATAACACAGATCAATGAACAGTCGAAACTTTGTGTTAAGGTGAGGGCAATATAATCCTTTGAACAAAGTTGGGGCTGCAGGTGATGCGGCGGTGCGACGAAGACGGCCGGCGCCGACCCACTATGTTGGTCGTCAACGTCTCTAGTTTCTTGATTGGGCATATTTTCCTTTGGCTTTCGAAATGAGGCCACGATTGGAGTCATGAAGGCCCCATGGCCCCCATCGTTAGGCCGACAACACTGTCAGAGAATCAAAGAATCAGTATGTGCTGACATACTTAAATTTGCTGGTGGCCCATGGCCGTATGCAACTTTGCACATTGTGCCACCTCCGCAAGTCTCACACTCATTGCAGAGTGGGAACTTTGAACTATTTGGAAACCTTTTCACAGTGGTTTGGTTGTGTGGGGTTCATACCTCTAAGTGCTCAATTAAAATTATGGTTCAACAATGTTCAACATGGTTCAATGAACGGCGCACCACTAAGATCAATTGTGGGGCATCATCTCCCGAAGAATTGGCCTCGAAAGCAACCTTCAAGATGCAGATGATGTGGCTTCTGCTATATCCCATGAGCTAGCTAAACCGAGCATCAGGGATTGGATCGGGCCAGCTACTCGGGTATGTGTGCGCAAGTTGGATGCCTCGCGGGACTGGAGGAACCACCTGCCTTCTTTGGGCATCAAGTTGGAGGGTGGGTTGCTCAAGGACACCGAGGGAAACCATTTGTTCCTCAGCTTGCGACGCCAAGGTGCATGTTGAGTAAAAAGTTCCAAAGTTTGATTGCTTTAACCATCCCCAATGTGCTCAAGATCAAAAAACAATGAATACTTCACCCCACCCTGAGATGTTCCAGCTCCATTACAGCGCAGTATCGATTCTGGTTCCTCCCGTGCGCCGGCTTCAAGTGGTGATGTCATTACCTTCGTGAAGAAATACGTGTGTGACACCGAGCTGTCCCAGAACCCCCTTCTGGTTATGACACAGTCCCGGGCGGCAGGGTTCACTATGGTCCCAGATGCAAAGACCCTTGCGCAATCCTAACTCGCAACATTTTTTTTCGTTGGTCCAGATGCTTTTTGGTCCTGTTCCAGCAAGGAACCAATGTTGTTGGAAACCTTCCATGTTCATTGCAGAAAGAATGGTTTTAAACACTGTCAAACAGCCAAGGAGAGTCAACAACCACAATGAAAGAACTGCTGCTGGATTGCAAAAGCTTGCAGATGCTGTATCTTTCTCTTATGGCCGCCAATATCAAAAGAGCATCGATTACCTGGTGGCATTGGCCGCCAACCGGTTTTGGCAGGAGGCTTCCTTGGCCCCCCTGCCATGGCACAGTGCGCCAGCAAACGCTGCGCCGCCAGGGCCTCCACTTGTGATTCACCAATCGGTGCTCGATGCTTTGGCGCCGTCGGTCCCATTGAGGGCAGTGTTCAGCAGGCAATAGATGCTTGACAACTCAAAACTGTTCAAGGTGGAAAACACCTGATCTGGTGGGAAAATGGGAGAATGGACTGCTTTGGTATTCATTCCAATCCTCCAATAGATTGAGAAGGAATATGTTTGGCAGGCTTTTTCTGGGTGTGTGTGTGTGTGTGTGGCAATTATGGGCGTTTAGCTTGATGCCATGCCATGATCAGCAGAAGTAACACCACAGTTCCCAAGACATCCCAAGACCAATTTTTGGTAATAACCATTCAAGACTGACACACCTCAACCCAGTACCAAATCCCTTTCTTCTTGGATGCACCGACCAGGACCAGATCCCTGATTTTCGATGCACCACCTAGGTACCCAATCCGATTTTTCGATGCACCACCTAGGTACCCAATCCGATTTTCGATGCACCGCTCAGGTCCCGGATCCGGTTTTTCGATGCACCGCTCAGATGCCGGGTCCAGTTTTCGATGCACCACTCAGGTCCCGGATCCGGTTCTCGATGCACCAGGGTCTTCCCAGAAGTCATCCCAGCTGGTTTCGATGGTGTGTGCGGCTCCCACAGCATTGAAAATACAATCCCAACCACACCAAGTGCATTGATCCTGGATCATCTTCCCAACATGAAAGTCGATGGTGTGTGCGCTGCACACACCATTGAAAACCCTATGTTATGGAGACCTGTGTTCAATTCTGAAATTGAAAACCCAAATTGTAAATTGAACCTGCCTGCCCAAAAATAGGGTTTTCAATGCTGTGTGCGGGGCACACTGCATTGATCCTGAAACAGGAATCTCAACTTAAAGTCGATGCACTGAGTGAACTTCCCGTAGCAATTTGACATTCAGGATTCAGGATCAGGGTGCGATGTCGGCGGCGCACAAGCTGCTCCCCTTCAGGGCTAAGGCTGAGGAACGAGCAGCTGCCAAAGGCTCCACAGGTGACGACAGTGGAGCTTCCAGCGCCTTGCCAGCGCCGCCCGTCAAGAAAGCATGCACTGCTTATGAGAAGCAACTGCAAAAGATGGAAGGCGATGTGAGTTTCATCAAGGACTTTATGTTGCTAAAGCTAGCTTTCAATTTAGTAAGTTGCGTACAAGATTTTCTTGCATATGTCACAAAAGTGTAAGTAAGTATGAAAACAAATACGAAGCGCAAAGTATCAAACACCTGTTTCACAGTGTTGGGAAATAAAGGAGCTGTCTGACTACATCTGTTCCTTCCGGCAGCCTGAAGATGCATCGCTGGATTCAGACGGTTCTCATCCAGCCTCCTTGGTCATGGAGCTCTTGAACGAGGGGGATGCAGGCCTGCGATGCCAACAGTTGGATGCATGGTTCCAGGAGTACGCCAGCTACAGGGGCATGCCATATCTGTACAAGAAACCGGGCTTTGAGACTTGCCCATCTTCGTGAATTGTTTTCCCTTAGCTCATTGATACCCTAACCTTTGGGGAGCCTCTTGTGGGTCCTTCTCTTGTGGTCCTTTGGGGAGCCAAAAAACAAGGACATGAATCCATCCATGGCAGATGAAACAGTCAAGATCCCGATCACCTGCTTGAAGCCACTGATCTTAATAGTTGTAATATTTTTTGAGATTATTCTGGCCATCTTACACATTCCTCTCAAATAGCCAAGCACTGTGACCAACGAGTTGACAAACAGGTTTGACAAGCCAGATGACGGCTTGCCAATCACGGCTGATTGGCTGCAGACTGCCGAATCCATTCTATTTGGAGGTCTAGACTTGGGGCGCGAACCATTGGACTGCTCAATGGATTCTGGCTCAGGTGTGGGTTGAAATTGTCTCCATGTGTATTGTGTTGTGTTGTGTAATAAGTCTGGCCTGTTTAGAATGTTCCAAAGGTCCTTTGGTTTTCAACTCCTACCCATACAGGTCCTACGGCGTGGCCATGCGAACTGCAGACCATAGACGTCGTCAAGGGATGGACGAGAGCCTCAGTGGTGATGACATTTCTCATTGCAGCCTCCGAATTGGACTTGAACGACCCAGAGAGCCGCGAGAAGTTGAAACCATTGCACCGGGTGCTCGACAAGGGCTGGATGATCCCATGCCATGCACCTCTCTGTAGACTTAGTGCATTTTTTGGTGCTTGTCTTTTGGCATTTTTGTTGATCTGTTTGTTTGTTTGTTTGTTTGTTTTTTTTTGTTTGTCTTTTTGTTCACTTTTCGTGCCAGCAGTTCCAGCCAAGATGTCCTTCAACATGGATGCCAGCAGCCGCAGCTACCGCAACCTGACGCTGTCGTACAGAGGCTCTGAGAGACAAAGCCCAAATTGTCTTCAGCTGGCCCTTAGGTTCTCCAGGATCATGGAAGCAAAGGCAGCTGAGCATCCTCCTGGGACAAGCACTGTGGACAGATTGAATGCAGTGATCGCCGAGTTCCACAATAGCCCAGGGCTGTCAGCCAAACACAGGCTCGATGAGGACAAGCAGCGGAGTGTGTTCAACGTACTCGCAGGCACGTGCAGTGACCCTTTATCTGAAATAAGAATAGGTTTGTTCTAGGGGAGTTTGCTGATGGTGTTGTCTTTTGGGGTCAAGTTCGAGGGAGTTTGATGTAGCTGGCACTCTAGGTTCATTTTTTGGTGAGCTTTTAAACTAAATCACAAATCCGAGAAGCCACACACACTGAGGAAGCACGCCACATTTTGCAGCGGCACATCGACCACGTGAAGTGGGCCCACTGTGCTTTTAGCACAGAGCAGTTGCGTGGCAACCGTTGGATGATAGGCGCAACGCCAAAAGCAGGATGTCCACCGGCTTTGAAGAAAGCCTTGACCGTTACGGAGCAGTCGCAGGCCATGCACTTCAGGTTGACAATCCATTGCTTCATCGAAGGCGGCCGGAGACTCAGGGCATCATCGAGATCAAGACTCCGATGGGCGTCTCAGCAGTTTGATGTGCACGCCGACCTTGCATGCATGTACTCGGCAGTCTTGGATGAGGCCCGTGAGTTGAGCAGCTGGACGGATCAGAAGGAACAGGTGTTGATGAAGGCCTTTTATTCGAAGTTACTTTGCTTTGCCTTCAGTCGGCACTTTGACTTGTTTCGTTCATTTGGCAAAAGGAACAAGGGCCTCTCTACAAATTTTTAGGGTGGTCAAATGGACAGTAGTCTGTGTTTGCATGCCTTTTGACCATCTCAGGGACTATATGCCTGAAGTGGAGGCGGCTGTGACAGCCAAATTGGGGACGTGGAAGTTGCAACACCTTGGCATCTGGCATGATTTGGTGGAGCCTCCAGCGACACCAGTCAAGATCACAACCGCCAGCGAACTGATGGAGCTGGAAGATGAGGCTCAAAGCGCACGCTTCAGAGAGGTCCGTGCAAAGCTGGCCCAGGACACAGCAGCCATGTGCCAATACAACAGCCAGAAGGAAGAGGTCACCCGCCGGAACCATGTTGTGAAGGTGATGCACGAGAAGTCACAGCTGGAGATCGGCAAACAGTTGCTTGTTGACGCATGGGGTTCAATAGTGCTTTGTAACTTTGCTTTCTTTTGTTTACATGTGTTGTTCAATTGCTATACGTTGCTTTCAATTTTGTAAACTAAGCCTGAGGCTCTGTGAATCTCACATGGAACGTTGCTGCCGTGTCTCTTTGATGGTTGAAAAGCATGGGATGGACCCCAAGCTGGACAATGTCTACCGCTCCGCTGCCATGGCCTCTAAGGCCAAGCTGTTGAAACCTCACTGAAAAAATACGTGTTCTGATTGACATTGATTGAAGCACCCTGACAAATAACAGCCATCATCTTCCTTCAATGTCCCTGACAGCCTGAAGGTGACTCCGCTGGAGGTGGACACAGTTCTCTACATGGACTGCACCAAGCTCGGGGTTTTGACACAGCCCTGCATCAATTCTCTAGCAGAATTGGCTGAGCGGGTTCTTTTCCGAAGTCCTTCCCGTTTCTTGGGCCTGGCGTTCCATCAAACTTTCTGGGATGTTTTTATTTGGATATTATATACTTTATTTGAATATATAATCTTTTTAACCAATGGATGGGTTGAGGGGTACCCCTGTCCTTTATCAATCAATTCTCTTGGCAGTTTGAGGCAGTGTGATGGTCTTGATTCCGCCTCTGTTGGTTGGGGCTGATGCTGGCGGCTCCCTTCGAAGAGACATCAGGCTTGATGTTTACCAAAAAGCATGCGTGACATGTTTCATCATGTTTCCCAACTCGCCGACATCGATACTTTCATTTCGTTTTCTTCAACCCATCACAGGAGGCTGGAGGACAAATTCACCAACCACAAGATTGAATTGAGGCCGTGGACTTTGAACATCAACTTGGATGAACTTCACAAGAACCGGGAACTGCCTGGCGCATTTGGCTGCTTCCTGGGAGTCGCAGACTCCACCTTGCCACTGCGTGGGACTGCACATCGGTCTGTGAGAGGAGCTCCAGAAGCTGAGAACCAAGTGAATGTGTTTCTGGGAAAATCACGAACAATCTTTGGTTTGATGAGTTTCCCAATTTTGGTTTTGGGTCTTGGCAAGAATCTTCAACTATCTTCAACTGTTTCCATCACCCCAGTCAACCCTCCAGGTTCTGCGGAAGCTTCTTGTGGACACGGCAGGCCTTGATGGAGTTCCCAAGCGCCATTCAAGAGAAAGATTTCACTGTTCCTGGCGACGCAATGCTGAGCCACACAGAGCGCCGCAATCTCACGGACTTTCAAGAAACTTCGCAGTGGCTCGGGGGTCCAGCAGTTCCCAAGGCTGTTCTGAAGGCTCTCTTGAGCGCCTTGTTGTTGAAACTTGAAATATGTTTTGATAACCACTATGTATATTGACCTTAGTTGGTTGAACTATGTCGAACTGCTCCTATATTATATAAATATATTACTGTAGATGAGATTGATGAAATTGAGGTGGAGTGAAGAACAATTTCACTACGGTGGTCATTCACCCTACTGCGTATGATGGCTCCCTCGAGATTGCGGCCTTGCAGAGTGGGCACTGGACTGTTGGCACATCCACCACTGATATCCACTACAAAGCTGCAAGGGATTCTGTCAAGAACCACTTGCTGCAGGAGGGATTTGATGAGCCAATCATGTGTCCAAAATTGCACAAACAATATGTGTTTACAACTGTGTTTATGGTAAGATGTTTCATAACTTGATTCATCCTTGGTTTGTGTCAGGCTTGGAAAACTGGGACTGCCCCAATGGACAAACAACAGCAGCGGTACAAGAAAGATGTCCCGGCCGATGACATGCCGAAAGCTCCGAGCGTCCCAGAGCTGAAACTATGCACACACAATGAAGGCAGGCTCTCGATCCCAACAGATGTCCGAAAACACTTCATCCAGTGTGCCATCCATGGACCAGAGTGGAGGGACATCCTGGTGCAGTTCGACAAGGACTGGGGTGCACCTGTCGCTGGAACTCCCAACGGATCTCCCATTGCCCCCGTGCCTCTCAAGAATGAGACCGCCAACAATGGATCGCCTGGTGAGACGCCCAAGGTTGAGCCGAAGGTGGAGCCAGATTTTGAATGGGCCAACACCTTCAAGGAATCTCCTGCTACTTTTGCAGAGTTGAAGAACAAGTTCGGGGATGAACTGAATGAGCTTGCTGGGCTAGCTTCAACTTCCTCGTTCTTTTTGGCTCCTGGACCTCAGCTGTACCTGGTGGCCAAAGAGCCAATCCACCTAAAGTGCATGGAGGGCGCCCTCATCTCCTACGGCGCAGGTTCATGGCTTACAGGGGAGAAAGCTACCAAGTTTGAGTCGAACTCCCCAGACCGTGCCATACCCTGCAAGCTTTCATCAGATCAGGTCCATTGCATCTTCGAGGATAGGGGTTCCCAAAGATGTTAACCACCTGGTGTTAATGAAAAAGGGTGTGATAGAATTGTGCCTCTCAACTCTCAACTGCAATAGTTTCAATGTTGATGCAGCAATACCTTTAACGTTTGTACTTTGTGACATGGGAGGAGAACGGAAGCGACATGCCACTCCAGCCTCTGAGGGCCATCTTGCAGCACGTTGAAAGCAAAGGAACCGTCGACTTTAGCCTGGGAGGGCATTCGTGCAGCCGCCCTCCCGAGGTTCAACAGGGCAAGGCGGCTGACGCCTTCGTTGTCCAACCAGACACCACAAACCCTTTGGTGTGGCGCCCACAGGCTGTCCAGCAGAAGGCCCTAAAGCCTGCCAACCTCGCCTCGCAGTTTGCCTATCCCCTGATCAATGCCTCCCCATTGGTGCTTGCCACTCAGCTCACAAAGCTTTAGTAATATGAAATGAGTATGCGCACACACAAACATGCATCACTGCACTTCGTCATATTTGCATACGAATGTTTGAGGATGCTACTGTTGATTTCTAAACTACTTTTCAATTCCCAGGTCTGGCGGATGCGGCTGTACCCTTCTGAGAAAGTAGTTGCTTGTGCCAAACCATTATGGTTTCTTCCAGCTGATTTGAAATTGGGTAAAGATGGATGCCAAAGGCTCATCTGAGTGGTTTCCTGCGTTGCCACAAGAGTTTGGGTTTACAAGCTATGCAAAGAAAACCAAACAGTCTGAAACTATCTTGCAAAGTTGAAAGAAATGGTGATGCTTCTTGGGAACGCTTTTGGGACACCCAGCTTGTCGAAGTTCCCGTGGACACGCTGGTGTATGGCCTCATTGATTGCTAGTGAGGCAGGGATCCATTGTGTGGCAGAGATCACACATCTTACCAACATCTGGGGGCAAAAGGCGAAAAGACATTGGACCATACGGCGGTACATTCTTATATTTGAGGCTGTGTGCCACCAACCTTTTATCGTGAGTTTGCTGCTTGCGACTTGTGCTCCCGAAACCAAACACCGTGAAACATCAGAATCATTATGATATATTATATTACATACAATGTGAGGCTGATCGCTCAAGTCTTCCAGGGTTCCAGGAACATCGGCTCATCGACCCAAATGTCGTCCCTTTCAAGCCAGATCATTGTCGATGATGAGTTGATGGAGTATGAAGTGGGGAGGACCAACAGTGTCTTCAAAAGGCAGAAGGTCTGTGCAGATCCGCCCCCTGCGAAGCCCTTCCATGTCATCCATGACGATGTCCCACGCCCCCGTTTGCAGAATCTCTGCCTTCACAGTGCGCCACAAGCTGCAGCTTTGCCTGTGGAGCCAGAGAAAGAGCAAAGCGCAGGGCCTTTCCCGTGGGAGACCGAGAAGTGTCTCAACATGCGTTGGCATTGTATCCATGAATGGTTTTTATGCTTTTGGTGATTATTGAAACCCAAAAGGCCACAGCAATGACCTTTGATTCACAATCAACAAATAAAAACTTCAATCAGGTTCTTGCAGTGCCTCAATTTTCCTTGCCAAGGTCTCCTAATCAGCCTGAGTGGGAAAGGGAGACTGATATCGAGAACTCCCGCCGTGGCCACCAGTACTTCCACTCGCCTGCAATCTTTGCTCCCGAGGGTGAGGAGGCTCCAAGTGCGCCTACTCAGATCAGGCGGATGCTTCGGTTTGATCCCAGTGAATGCGGGCTGACAGAACCCAAACACATCCCGGATCCCACTGACCGTGAGGATTCACAGTTGGATGGTGATGAGCTTTTGAAGCGCATGGGCTACCATTTCCATCCGGAAGAAGCTCTTGCCATGATTGAGAACAATGGTGAGGAGGAGGTGGTGCCTGAGGTGGTGCCTGTGGTGGTGCCTGTGGTGGTGCCTGTACCTGAAGATGTACCCGAAGTACCTGATGCACCCCAAGAACCCGAGGTTGCCAAGGACAACTCGCTCGAACAACAGCTTGATGCAGAAATTGAAAAACCTGATCGGGAATACAAGTCAAGTGCGGTAGCCAGGGAAAATAGCCGAAAATGGCACCAAAACTGGGTCAAGAAAGGTGTCCCCAGAGTCTCAAAAGAGGCGACAGAGAAGGTGAAGGGGGGATCTGGGGCATCTTCTTCTTCTTCGTCTTCCAAAAACCTTGCAAAAGCCAAGGATGAGTTCATTAGCAAATGGATTCAGAAATCTGACATGAAGCCATCGAACGATCGGCGTAACGCTGCCATCAAAGCTTGGATGGCCAGCTCTGAACGCTCCAATTTCATGGCCGGGTCACAGGGGGTCCAGAAGTGAATCCACGAGTCTACCTGTTCGTCAGTTTTTGGTTCTGGAGCATGGATTTGTGGTGAGAGCGGATTCCCAAGTGGCCTTTTAGGCATCGCATAGCTTCGAAGCCAAGGGGAAATTGGCTTCTGGGAAAAAAAGTTCTGTTCATGGGATTTGGGCATTTGTCGAGAACAACCACAACTCAAAGGGGTATTTGGAACTAGGATCTTGCTTTGATTCTGCACCCAAGGCCCAACCGCAGCCTCTGTGATGATGGACACGACGATGAAGGCCATGCAGGGCCTTCAGTGTGTGAAGGGTCTGCCAATCCAATGAGTTTGAAAACCGGATGGCTGAGAGTTCATTAGCAATGAATGTGCTGCCAATGGATTGTTTGGTGTTTTCATGTTCGATCCCTTCAGTGTGACTAGATCCCTTCAGTGAGAAGCCAACCACTGGATCGCCGGCTCTGAGGTGAGCGCATCGGGCACTGCGCCGCACAACGGCCGTGGAACCGCCGGTGGAGGGATGCGCTAAAAAAATCTAGAACAGTGGTGGGCCATGGTGGGCCTATGATTGTTAGAAAGACACCTAGAAAGACCTCGTGATAAAGATATCTAGAAGAGTTTGTGTTTTATGCTAGCTTGATCCTATCAAATTGCATTCTATTGCTCACAATGCCCCACGCAAATGTGGGGCCATCAAGATTGAACCGCCGGCGGTGTGACGCGCAGGATGTTCGACCGGCGCGCTCGCCCCGCACACTCCCTGGAACCGTCAACGTGTTCCCCTTTTTAGCACTAGTGCCTTAAAGAAAGGACCAGCTCACACAAAAGCAGCTTATAGTAATATGTTGACTGGAGTGTCTTCATCCAAATTTTTTGAATACCAAAAACAAGTTCATGATGGCGCAGGTCATGATACATCAAAACCAGTGCAAATTTCACTGAGGCATCAAAACCAGTGCAAATTTCACTGAGGCATCAAAACCAGTGCAAATGTCACTGGCCATTTGGGTGGGGACTTGTGTTGTTGACACTGTCTTGGTAGCGGAGATGACCAACCTCAGATGCCACCAATCCAACCTCAGATGCCACCAATGTTACTTAGATGCTCTCGTGCCTGCACAGGCATGCCTACGCATAAGGGCAACGCGCCGCACCGATCGCCGCAATCGGCATCACTACGTTGCAGCCAAGCTAATTTCTCTTGAGCCAGGTCTGGTTTTGCGTGCAACGTTTGCGAGGAAGCTACATCCTGCGCAATCGCATAGTGCAATCGCTGCCCTTGGAGACGAGCCCACTGTTCTGCGCGGACACGATTGACGTGGCATTTCACGACATTGGTGCTAAAGATTGCGTGCGCGCGGGTGAGGTCCTTTGTGAAGCGTGAATCCTGTGGACCCTTGGCAACGAGTTGCTTACTCAGACGTTCTCTCTGGCACGTCGGGCATTCCTTGCGCATGATTGTTGTAGGTGAGATGTTTTGCAAGTGCAATTGCTGACATGACATAGTACCACAGGTCGGGCGGCCGTGGGCCTCTAGCCAACTCCCGGGAACTGTCGTGGGTCGGCCATGGAGAAAGTCGTGGTTGTTTTTGGATAGATGACCGGTACGCAGCTCTGCTTGAAGTTCTTGTAACCATTGATCTTGTGTGCGTTCACATTGTCGTAGTTCTGTGACACCTTGGATGCCACCATCCGCAGCGGAGGCCCAAACCAAGTGCTGGCCTTGCAAGCTTAATGGCAACTTCTTCGAGGAGACACTTGTGAGCAGCTGCCAAGGAATCTGACCCAGAAACGTTCCTCGTGGTGGCGGCAACTGCCACAGATCGCCGGACAAGATCAGATTGAGGCCTCCAAATGGTGCAGCACGACCATTGGTCTGCTTGGCATACTTGGTGGCGCTCAGGTCTGGCACCAGTTGTCGGCACCGGGCCTCTAAACGAGCGAGCATTTCAGCGCTGACCATGCTTATTTCATCGATCACCAGCCACCGCCATTGGACGGCTTGGCTGGCCAAGTCTAAGACGCGCTGTGCATCCACGCTGGAATCGTTCCCGTGCCATGCCAGCCCCAGAGCGGCATGGATGGTCTCTCCATCCAAAGGTTCTGCGTTGACCGCTTGGAAAGTCACAACTTGGAATTCTTTGCCCTGCTGCCACCCAAGCCGTTGCTCAAACAAGTCTTTCCGCAGAAGATTCAACACATAAGATTTGCCTGTGCCTGGACCTCCATGCAAAGCCCATCGAAGTGGTTCTGTGTTCGTTTCGGCCGCTCCCCCGCGATCCTGCCCGGTGATGGCTTCCGCTTGGAGTCGCCTGCAAACTTTGTGGAGGAACTGCAACTGCTCAGAGTTGCACGTCTGTCGTTGCCGACAGTCCGCGAGAAATTCGTCTACTGCTCTGGCAACATTGTGGGCTTCGGCTTGCCATGTCCCTGCCATCACAGCGGCTTCGCTGTTGCTGGATGGCACTGTCCTGTTGCGCTTGGCCCTCGCCAGCTTGATAGCTCTCTGGGCTTCTTTCGGATCCTGTGTTTCATAGGGGTTTTGCCTTTGGCCTGGTCCCCTGCACTGGGACGGCTGCTGCCAAATTGCATCCGCTTGCGCCACCGCTGCTTTGTAGCTGGCCAGAGCCGCGTCCGCAACCTTCGCACCTGTTTTGGCTTCTCCTTGTTTCCCAGTTTGCCGAAAAGATGTTGTCAGGGCCGTGGGCAGAGTCGAAGGGGTAACTAGAAGCGGTTCGTCGGCACCGCTGTCGTCACTGTTTGCTGCGGCCGCAGCGGCCGGGCGGACCCGGTACACGGATAAGAAGTTGCCGACATGGCGCTTGGTTTCTTCGCACGGCACACGCAGAAGCCACAACCGGAGCGCTTGAGCCCACGTTTGAGTAGGTTCTTTCAACCGCCCCGCAAAGGGCACATTGGCGGAGGCGTTCGACGAAAGCTGTAAAATAGCGAAATGTTGCGCACTGGTCTTCTCCAAGTGGCCCATGTGCAGAATGTTGCTTACTGGTCCTCTCTTCATCCGCTTCATCGCTTCAATTTGTTGGGGTGCTGTATGTTTTTCTGTCCTTTCTCCACGAGCCACTGAGTCGTTTCAGTAACTGGGGAAGTCTCCTGGTCACTCCAGTGAGGTTCTACATTCTTGTTAAACTTTATATCCCATGGCCATATGGGCTTGGCAAATCTCGGCAATGAATGCTGCATCCGAAATTAGACATCACTAAAACCCATTGGATGAGGATCCGACTGGGTAGCACCAATGCGCAAAGAACTATACATGCTGGTACATACAATGCACACCAGCTCGCAAAGTCGCAGAGATGGGCCCACCAGACTGGAGTTCTTGGAACCGGGCGGTGGAAAGAGCCGGTGTGGAGGTTGAGGATGCGAACGTGCCTCTTAACTCTTTGAATCTAGGTCCCAAACGTCCAAGAGGGGCGCCGTCTTTGAGGCGTGAAACAAGTGAAGCCGCCTGAAGGCATTGCTTCTGGACATGATCCACCACTTGGACTGGACTAGGATTCCCATGATTCGCATCCTGAGAGACCAAGCGGCTTCCCCCCAAAAGCTGTCTGGAATCGACTGTGACTGGGATTCTGCAGGGGCCCCTGAACCGGTCTCGGAATTTCTGTCGTAGTCACCTGAACCATAGCTTTTTGGCGAGTGCAAGCTGCAGTACTCCTCCTCCTTGATGAGTCCCGGGGTCGGCGGCAGGGGCGGCAGCCCTTAAAT